TTGACTCTTCCTCCCTCACCCAGCACCCAGTTTGATGACTAACACCTTGTTATGCACAGGGAAGTTGGTCATGGCAGCTGGGAAGGGGGGACAGAGGGCTGAGGACGGCAGAGCAGAGCATGCAGGCTACGTTTAGGGCTTACCAATGCACAGCCATCACAGGCAGGTGCTACTGAAGAAAAAAGAAAAAGAAAAAAAAAAAACCACTTCAGTGGCAAATTATAGGAGAGATCTGGGTCAGGATCCAGGTAAAACCAGTAAAGAAGTTTTCAGGGATGACAGGGCTCATGGATGTCATTTCAGAGACCAAGTCCAGGGCATGCACTCTTAGAACAGTGTATGGCTTATCTGCTCAGTTCTTTTTTTTTTTTTTTTTTTAGGCAGAATTTCACTCTTGTTGCCAGGTTGGAGGTGCAATGGCACGATCTCGGCTCACTGCAACCTCCGCCTCCCAGGTTCAAGCAATTCTCCTGCCTTCAGCCTCCCTAGTAGCTGGGATTATAGGCATGTGTCACCAGGCCCAGCTATTTTGTATTTTTAGTAGAGATGGGGTTTCTCCATGTTGGTCAGGCTTGGTCTCGAACTCCCGACCTCAGGTGATCCACTGCCTCGGGCTCCCAAAGTGCTGGGATTACAGGCATGAGCCACTGCGCCGCGGCCTCCTGCCTCAGTTCTAGTAACTCTCCCTACCAATCACACGCCACTCCCAACCCACTCCACCTGCCGTCATCATCTGCAATTTGATGTCCAAGCTATACATGGTGGAAGCCCAGGAACCAAACCAAGAAGTCAGTTCAAACTGTAACCACTTCTACACTGAAAAATAATGCTCCGGGCTCGCTTCGGCAGCACACATGCTAAAATTGGAATGATACAGAAGATTAGCATGGCCCCTGCGCAAGGATGACATGCAATTCGTGAAGCATTTCGTATTTTTTTCTTTGACAAAATAGAAAAAAAGCAATGGGGAAAGAATTCCCTTATTTGATTGAAATGGGGCTGGGAAAACTGGCTGCCATATGCAGGAAAACTGGAAACTGGACTCGTACCGTTACGCCTTATACAAAAATTAACTCGAGTGGATTAAAGACTTACAATGTAGGCCCTAGAATCATAAAAACCCTAAAAGAAAACCTAGCGATACCATCAGGCATAGGCATGGGCAAAGGACTTCATGACAAACACACCAAAAGCAATGGCGAACAAAAGCCAAATTGACAAATGGGATCATAATATAACTAAAGAGCTTTCTGCCACAGGCAAAAGAAACTTATCAGTCAGAGAGAAACAGGCAACGTCAGAATGGAGAAAAAATTTTTGCAATTCTACCCATCTGAGCAAGGTTTAATATCAAAGTTTACAAGAACTTAAACAAATTTATAAGAAAAAACAAACAATCCCATCAAAAAGTGGGCGAAGGATATGAACAGACACTTCTCAAAAGAAGACATTTATGCAGCCAACAAACATATGAAAAAAAGCTCATCATCACTGGTCATTAGAGAAATGCAAATCAAAACCACTATGAGATACCATCTCATGCCAGTTAGAACGGCAATCGTTAAAAAGTCAGGAAACAACAGATGCTGGAGAGGATATGGAGAAATAGGAATGCTTTTACACTTTTGGGAGTGTAAATTAGTTCAATCATTGTGGAAGACAGTGTGGCAATTCCTCAAGGATCTAGAACTAGAAATAGCATTTGACTCAGCAATCCCATTACTAGGTATATACCCAAAGGATTATAAATCATTCTACTAGAAAGACACATGCACACGTATGTTTATTACAGCACTGTTCACAATAGCAAAGACTTGAAACCAACCCAAATGCACATCAATGATAGACTGGATAAAGAAAACGTGGTACATATGTACCATGGAATACTATGCAGCCATAAAAAAGGACGAGTTCATGTCCTTTGCAGGGACATAGACGAAGCTGGAAACCATCATTCTAAGCAAACTAACACAGGAATGGAAAACCAAACACTGTATGTTCTCACTCATAAGTGGGAGCTGAACAATGAGAACACATGGACACAGGAAGGGGAACATCACACACCAGAGCCTGTCAGGAGGGATAGCATTAGGAGAAATACCTAATGATGATGGGTATTTCATTATCATTAATGATAATGAATAGCTTTAGGCAACCTGGAGGTCCTGGTTGGATGATGGATTGTGATTAAAAGTTATAAGAGAACTTTCCTTATTTGACAGGGGAAAAAGGAGTCAAGACGTCTGCCCTAGATTTACTAGATGATGGGTTGATGGGTGCAGCAAACCACCATGGCACGTGTATACCTATGTAACAAACCGGCACATTCTGCACATGTATCCCAGAATTTAAAGTATAATAAAAAATAGAAGAAAAGAAAAAAAAAGAAAAGAATGCTCCCACTGCAATTGATGAAATTATACATGTACAGTGCTTACACTAGCTCTGTGAGTTTGCTAGGGCTGC